CCCCCTTTCCCTACAACGACACAATAAGAACCATCACGATGCGCCCGGTATCACGTACACACATTTTTCACCTCCAGGGGCCACAGCGCGGAAACTGACCCGGCTGGTGCCTCTCTGTTCCCTTTCCAGGACACTCCCCCCGAGCACAAACAAGAAAGACACGCCGCTCTCCCAGCGGCCTGAGGGAGGGGTTTGCCGGACCCCCGGCCGCGGCTCAGAGCTCACTCTGGTTTGGTCACATGCAGCCCGGGCAAAAAAGCAGCATTCCAGTCCACCCCCGAAGGCCCCCTCACCTGGTGAAGTCTGCTTGATGACGCGCACGATCTGCTCGGTGCGCGGGTCCAGGTAGCCCATCTTACTGATGAACTCCAGGGCGGCTTCGATGCTCCTGCTGCCCGTCTGCTTCAGGGCCCGCACGGCCATCTCCTGCGGAAGAGCACCGGCATCAGGCAAGACCGGACAGGCCCGCCGGGAGGCCGTGGCCGCTGCCGGGGTCAGAGAGGGGACCCGCGGCCGGGCCCGCCGCGTGCCTCCCCAGACAAGAAGGTGTAGCTCACCTCCCCTTCACCGAGCACCAGCGAGCGTGCTCTGGCTCTCACTTCTAGTCGCGCGCCAAACCCGTTCGTGACGCACGAGCGGACTGCGTCTTGAAAAACAAACCCCTCCTCCCGCTTCAGAGAGACAGCTGCAGCGCGCGACACGCGGACTTGCTTCACGCAGAAGGGACGCGCGCCGGGAGAACTGCGATTTTGTGCAATCATCCACGAGCACTTCCACCCGGGGCCCCCGGGCAACACAGCCGTGTCCCGGGCCAACAGGCTCGCGCGGGCGCTGTGAAAGGTCAAGCTCCGCGCCGCCCTGCAGCTGTGCAGTTTGACGTGCAGGGCAGCTGGCCGGGCGCCGGGCCGCATTGCTCACATGGCTGGACAGGGCCGGCCCGGCGGGCAGCTGCGGGGGGAGGCGCTCGGGCCAGGGAGCGATCCCGCACACACGCCCGCACCTCCGAGAGGGGTCTGCGCTCGCGAGGTCACCTGCTGTTTGGGGTTGGGAAGATAAACCCCCAGGCTGATCGTCAGCAGACAAGTGAACACAGCAACCTGCTGCCACAGGCTTTACTCTTGCCGACAGTAAGGTACTGTATAGAAGCAGCTCTATTTGATTGTTTTAAATGGTAGTAAAATGGTTTTAAATGAGGTGTGTCTAATCTCTAGTTCCTGATAATCCTATTACATGCAGCAAGGGACTGAAGCCTCAAATTAGACCCCAAAAAAACAGTCAATGCGTTGGTTATATCCACATACATTTTCAATAGAGTCAGGTTTATGCAATTTAAATGACCAATTTACAGACTAAAAAATATCTGTGATGAACACTGCATACACTGAATTATACTTCATTCTTCAATAAATAGCCAAAATTTTACAATCCCATAATTTCAAATCCAAATGTACACGGGCTCTCAAACACAAGTCTGGCTGATGAAACATCTTCGGTGTCATGTACCTTCGGAGCTGTGGCTCTGTGGCTCAGGATCTGCGCCTGGGGCTGGAAGGTTGCCAGTTTGTATCCCACGGCCGGCAGAGGAATCCTACTCCGTTGGGCCCCTGGGCAAGGCCCTTGGCCCCAACTGCTCCAGGGGTGCTGTACAATGGCTGACCCTGCGCTCTGACCCCCAGCTTCTCTCCCTGTCTGTGTGTCTCATGGAGAGCAAGATGGGGTATGCGAAAAGACAAATTCCTAGTGCAAGAACTTGTATATGGATAATAAAGTGATCTCTTTTACTGTACTTATCCCAGTTTTCCTAAGCAGCGGCAATTTCTGGTGCCAAAAACAAAACAGCATGTGTATCAGGGAGCCGTGGAAGGCGAGCGGAGATGACAGATCCGCGCAGGACAAAGGCCGGCCGTGCCGGCGGAGCCCGCGCTCATTGTTCTCCTCGGGCCCCTGTTCCTGTCCGGCATTCCTAAGGAGGGCGGCCTGCGGATTCCCGCACTTCTGCCTCTGTCCCCGCGCCCCCTGCCGAGCGCCTTCCTGCCCCCTGCAGGGGAAGTGCCTGTTCGTGCTGCGAGGACAGCTCGGGGGTGGGGGGGGCGCAGCCGGTCTTCCGCGGTACCCCACCTCCTCCCGGCCGCCCACCGGGAAAAAGCGGGGGCGCCTGCTCTTCCCCTCTCACTCCCAGAGGGCCCTCCGCGCCCCACATCCCTCCCTTCACCCCGGGCTCAACAGCCAGGCCTGGTCTTCTCCGTGCCGAGAGCTGCTCCTGGGTTTCACTGACACCGGCCGGAGAGGACAGCTGAGCCTCAGTTAGGCAGACGGGGCTAAAATCTAACCAAAACACTTACATGTCCAAACCCACAGGCGGCAGAGACCACCGCAGCTTGCGTGACAGTCCGGTATATTTAGACACGTCTGTTAAAGAAGGGCTTCTCCAAAACATCGCTGTAGTAATGCGGGCTATTTGCCTCAGCAGGGATGGCTCCAGAAATAATTTTTAGGGGTACTTAGCATGTGAGGTTTGGAGCCATAAGGAATATTTAGGTGTCATTTGCTCTGGTGCGTGCTCTTGGTAGCAATTCATTTCCAAAGCCACTCAAGTAGACGATCCTGAACACTGAGCTTGTAAATCTTTGAGAAAACCGTCATCCATGTGGATTGTCATGTAGCTAAATCTCCCCGAACCCCCCGGGAGAACAGCCTCACAGAACATGACTACAAACTCTGGTATTCACCTTCCATTCGAACAGGTCTGGGAATGTTAGCTATCCGTGAGTAACCGTTGCGTTGCTGGATGGATATTGAGCGTAGCTACATGAAATAACATTGTTGACCAACAGTGTTGTCATTCACGCAACATGCAGATTAACACTAAAACGGATCTCCCAGAGTAAAATGCTCATCAAATGAACAAAAAGCCTACTAAAATATTACCGAAAACTTGAGTGTAAACCTAAAAAGGGAGGACTGTGTATAAAAAGAGCTGTGATTCCTACTGTATATGGTTCACCCAACAGAGACAAATATCCTCAAATTAAAGCTGGCATTCTGCACTTTAACCTCATAGTCATCATTTCATTTTAAACCCAGTGCGCTGGAGTACAGAGCCCAGACAAAAAGTGCGTCACTGTGCAAATACTTACAGACTGCAGTGTATGTGCGTTGTTTGGAAAAAGTTGTGTAAGCTCTTCTCCACAGTGAATAAACCAAGAGTTGACACATATTGAATTGCTCAGTGCTGATGGCTAACTTTGGCTTTTGGTTAAAGAGTTCTTAAGGCACTATGGTCTGTACAGCACGATGTTCCATTAAATAAAAAGAAAACTGTATGATTTACTTCTGCAGCACACACTAGAGATGCGCATTTGGAAAACACCAACAAAACAGAATACCATAGGACCTGAGACAGACTCTGTGGAACTGATTTAGTGCCCTGAAGCACTGATTGTTCAGAGACTGTGCAGACTGCAGGGCCCTCAGTTTGTCCGAATGAGAGCTGGCAGTCTGGAGTGCGAGTGATTCATTCAGATGGCGTTCCAGTACACCACAGCTGAGTGAACTGCGCTTCATTCTAATGACTAACTCCTGTTTGGCGCATGCCTGCATCGTGCTGTTTGACTCGACATGGATTCAGTTAGGCCTTCCATGTGCGAAACTTGTGTTTTTTTCAATCTTTACAAAGCACACTAACTAAATGCTGGATTTATTAAAGGAATCAGACGTGAAGTTTAAGATACAAATAATGCAGAAAGGAACAGAGGAGAGAGAATGTCTTAATCTAATTTTATGACCCCAGAGTACTGCCATTGTCTGAGAACAACACAGATCGGATAATCAAATTCCTGTCATATATGGCCTATTATATCATCTCCAGACCTCACAAGGATTTAGTTCAGTGCCCATGTCCACTGAGAGTGTACAAGTATTTGGAGCACTTTACTGGGTAAAACGAACAAACAAACAAAAAAGAAATTAAAAAAGTCCCGTGAGCAGAAATAAAGAAACAGATAAAAAAAGTTAAAAAGGAGAATTGGCATTTATTAAAAGCATGACTAAACGGATACGTCTTTAGACTGAAGTCTTGCATGTCTCGGAGTGACGGGGAGTGAGTTCCAGAGCTCACTCACCCCGAGACACTTGTACCTACAAAAAGCTACTAAAAGCTTGGCCTCCTTCCGGCTACACTGCAACTCTCATCAGTCCGTAAGCATTGCCAGGATTCGGCGTGTGTGGCTCTAAACATATTGGGGAGCCCCTGAAGACTTGTCAGAATTGGGGTGACGTGGTCACGGGGCCTTGAGCACTTCAGAAGTTGTGCGGCTGAGATTTGGACTGTCGGACGTCTAGGGTGTAGGCAAGGCATCTAACAGAAGACATCGCAGTAGTCTAGCCAAGGTGGGATCACTGAATTCCAAGCCTGTTCCCTCCTACTAGGAAATTAGCTGGTGGCTGGGCAAAACGATTATTATTACCAAAGTGATTTATTGGACAGCCGGGGAATAATCAAAGGGCAACCCTTTAAAGCCTCACGGAGCGCTGAAACCAGGAACAACAGTCAGGCGTGTCGGGATCAATAATCCAGGACTAGAAAAACACGCACTGGATGTGCTGCCATGAAAGACAGAGGTGGACCTTGGTGACACAGCACAGCGTCCAAGCTCACCGTTTTCTGCAGCGCCTCGTTTTTGCGGTCGTACACCAAGGCATCTCGCCCCACACGGCAGCTCCTGACCGACGCCTTGACTCCTTTCGGTCGGCCTGCCATGCAAACATATCGGTCTCCTGGCCCTCCCTTCCCTTCCTCTTGTGACAGTTATTCATTCCTAACCGCCGGACTAAAATGATCTTGATCGGAATACTTCTCCTTCTTAACACCACTCTCCTGCAGAATCTGAAATCTCGGAATACTCTTTGGATCCTGGATTTTCCTTCCTCCCAGGTAGGAAATAATTTCCGTCAAATCAGCTGGGACATCCTGGTGCTCCCCAGGGCTGTGTACCTCGG